GATGTTTACAAGAAATGGCAAAGAATAAAAATCCAATGTTTTCCTTTCTTTTTTCAGCCATTTTTACATGTGCACCAAGTGACAATGTTCAACTCTGTTGTGAACACAATTTTTTTTTCAATACTTTTATCGTTGACCTTAAAGATTAGTAAGAGGAAAAGTGACCAATCATAAGCATCATGTTTTTAAATACTCACCTTTAAAAGAATGATCATAACAAAGACAGAAATGACAACAGGAAAGAAGCAATTGACAGAAAGCATTGAAACCAAACAAGGTAGCTACAATTGCCCAATCATGGCAGTAATCACAACTGAAACTTCAACATCAACAACTCTGTTCTCTGCATATTGTTTGAAAAAGTCAAAAACACAACAAAACCAGCACTGGAATTCAACCAAATGAATGTAAACCATCTGCTGTTTTGTTCTCATTGCAGACTTAATGATCCAGACTCAGTGAAGAAACGTAGCAAACTTGTTCTTCCCAAACCTCAGATATCTGATACAGAACTGGAGGAGGTTTGTAATTTCAGTGACCTTTTTTTTTTTTTTTCTGTGAAGTACATAGATTCACTCCTTGCAAAATCTGTTGTCCTTTTACTTTATTTAGATTGTGAAGATGGGCCAGGCAAGTGAGACAGCTCGGTTATCAGTGGAAGACAATAACATGGCGTCCAATGCCCTTCTGAGCGAATATTCAGTTACTCCTGCGGCAGCTCATGCTCTTCGGACTCCTCGAACACCTGCTGAACAAGATACAATTCTACAGGTACTACATGGAGATTTTTTACACAAAATACTTTGAAGCGTGAAATTTTTTAATTTTTTGCAGACTTTGCAGATTGTACTTTATGGCTGAAAAAAAATTCCAGCAAGAAAAAATACCTCCAAATTACTGCCTTTGTGATCCATCCATGAAAAGAAAACTATTGGCTTGGTTACTCTAGGCACACTTTTTTCTTGTTTTGTGTCATTCTGTTAATGCAGGAAGGGTTTACTTTGGAAGATTTCATTGAATCCAGCAAAATTTCATCATCAAGGATACTCGATAGTCCAAAAAAGGCTCACTGTGCACCATCAGAATGCACTCCTCATATGCCAGGACACAAACCAATTTATTGTTTTTCAAACCATTTATCTTGAATTGAGAGCTCCCTAAAAGATAAATGTCTTCCCTCAAAAACTTAACCAAGTAACAAGTAATGGAGGTTGAAAGTACTACCCTTCTTCTTTGTTAATGTTCTGCTATACAAATTGATAAAAAGTCACACTCAGCAAATTTCCCAGTCACCTTGAGTTGCTAGAATAAAACTTCTGCCAAATTTTGATTGTGTTTACATGGTGTGTATTTATTAAGAGGTTGATTTACTGAAATATTTTATATTCCTCAACCTTAAAGTATGTTGTCACGATAATAAATCAATGACCAACTTATTGTGTTTTGTTTATCAGGAAGCCCAGAACATCCTTGCTTTATCTAATGTGGACACTCCTTTAAAAGGGGGTATGAACACGCCCCTGACTCAGAGTGACTTTGAGGGCGTTACCCCAAAACACCAAGCCATTCAGACACCAAACATGATGCTAGCGACACCATACAGGACACCTCAGGGAGAAAGTGGAGGTAAGTATTACAGGTTATTTACCACACTGTACTTGAAATGATGCTAGCATTGATTCTTCCAATCCATTTTTTTACATTTGCATGCAGCTTTTTTTTTTTTGAAAAAAGTTAGTAATCCTCCCCTGAACTCTTGTTTGCAATCTCAGTAAATTTACTATCAGCTCTCTCAAACCTACGGTGGCCTACAACTGTCACATCAAATTAAAGTCACTCACATCAAATAAAAATCACTCACATCAAATTAAGATCACTCACGTCAAATTAAAATTACTCAGATTAAATCGAAATCGCTCACATCAAATACAAATCGCTCACATCAAATACAAATCGCTCACATCAAATACAAATCGCTCACATCAAATACAAATCGCTCACATCAAATACAAATCGCTCACATCAAATACAAATCGCTCACATCAAATTCAAATCGCTCATATCAAATACATCAATTGGTCAGCGGCTAAGTCAATGAATGCTATCCCAAATGTTTACTCGGACTCCCACCTTACCGCCATATTTTGTACGATTCGATTTGTACGATCGTTCTTTGACTCGACATTAGTTAACTGATCAGAATTCTAGCAAATATGTAAAAAGGGGGTTGACAGGCCTACACGACTAGCCTATTCAAAGTTTGGCCCTCACGAGTATGTCTGAGCAATCGCCCTCTTCTGTAAGATACGAGCGGCGGATTTTTGTATAGTTCGCTCAGTACTGGTTGTTTCTATTAAATGCCAGTTTCTCATGAGAATTTGCTTTAGGTTTGGCACTGATGGTTGGTATTGTGTAACAAAAGGCAGGATTCGTTTGTTCGTCTTCGGTTTCTGTTGAAGAGCTAGTTTCCTGTTTTTGAAATTCACCTCTGAGAGGGTTGTGTTAATGAGGTCCTCTTTAGCAAATGTGCTTTGAAATTTGCAATTTTCTCCTCTAATATTGTTTAAGAGGAGTTTGTTCTGGGAAGTCTAAGGGCCTCTCCTTTTATGAAGCCTTTCTTAACTCCTTGTGGGTGACAGGAACTAAAGTGTGTATACTGAAATGTCTCTGTTTAAAACTAGTACGCACATCAAGGATTGCGTCCTTTTCGAATCGTTCGTCTTTGTAGATGTATGTGTCCGGGAATGTTGTTTCCTTATCGGAAATTTCAGCCGTAAAATTTATTGTTGGATGTTGATTGTTTGCTAAAATGGAAGACCGAGTATACATTGGGGATAGCATTCATTGACTTAGCCGCTGACCAATTGATGTGACGATTTGTATTTGATGTAAGCGATTTGTATTTGATGTGAGCGATTTGTATTTGATGTGAGTAATTTTAATTTGACGTGAGTGATCTTAATTTGATGTGAGTGATTTTTATTTGATGTGAGTGACTTTAATTTGATGTGACAGTTGTAGGCCACCGTACAAACCACGGCCGTTTCGAAATGTGGAAAACACCGAATAACTATCCAGATGTTTCTGGTGTGTCTGACTTTGTTAACTGTCTCTCAAAATATTTAAATGGGTAACCGACTTTTAAGTAAGAATTTAGCTATCCACCAGAAAGAACTCTTTTAAGGTCAATTGACAATTCAACAAGTTAAGTCGAAGTTGGGACTCAATGAAACACGCACGTAAATCAACGAACATTCAATGCGTTTGCGGTTTCGTCTCATTCAACCGTAAATCGTGTTTTTTGTCCGCAGGCGTCACTCCACGTAGCATGGCTGGTACCCCGCACAGGGGAAGCTCAGCCACTCCTGGGCGTGCGTCTGTGAGAGATAAACTGAATATTAATCCAGAAGAGTCGCTAGAGGAGTATGAAGCAGGCTATGGAGCCAAAGAACAACAGGCAAGAATTCTCTGACATGTTCACTTTGAGAAAAGTAATGACCTAACGGATGGCGCGCTAGGCTCCGGCTAGAGAGGTCTGGGTTGAAGTCCTACTCAGGTCATTGTGTTGTGTTTTTGGGAAAAGCACTTTACTTTCACAGTGCCTCTCTCTATCAAAGGGGGTATAAATGGCTACTCGCGAACTTCCAACAGGCTCCTGCGCGTTGGTGAGAAATCTTACACCATGCATTATGCATCGAGATTGCCGTGTTCAGGGCTCGTAACTCAAGATGATCCCTCCCCTCCCCCCTTCATCACGTTTAACATGTTTATCTCTCCCCTCCCCCCTCAATCACGTTAAACAAGGTTATCCCCTCCCCTCTTTTCCCCTCTCTCCGTCATTACGTCAAACATGTTTATCCCCTCCCCTCCCCCCTTCATCTCGTCAAACGTGTTCATCCCCTTCCCTTCACCCTTCATCGTGTTAAACATATTTACAGGACTTCTTTCTCAAGACTCCTACATAATATAAACTATATATTGTGTTCATGCAGGAAGAACTGAAGGCTCAGTTGAGAGCGGGTTTAGCATCACTCCCAGCACCTTCTAATGACTTTGAGATTGTATTACCAGAGGTGAGGTTCCTTTCTTTGCTATGTACAGTAGTCTACCCATACTTGGGTTAGGCCCAGTGATTTAGAGATATCTTTTAAGTAGTTTCAATTTAGTATTTGCCCAAGCCATAAATAGAAGCCGTGCTCTCAGAAAAATTACCTATTCGTTTTTTTAGGTTAAGTAGTGTTTGATTTACTTTCATTTTTTCATTTATTTTCTCCACCTCTTGAATTTACACGATAAATGAAAGTTCAATTCTTCTTTTACTTAACAGACCGCTGAGGGAGAAGACGAAGAGGCCACAGATAATGGCTTTGTTGAAGATGCAGCTGATGTCGATGCCAGAAAAATGGCCATGAAAGCTGCCGAAGGTTTGAAACTCGACACTTATTTTATTTTTTGTTATTTTTGAGCATAGGATTTAAATACCGTCGAATGGCTTAGATTCACTAAGCATAATTTGCCCTACTGGTTTTAGTTTGATTTTTCAGAGTATAAATACATCTCTGTTGTTGTTTTGTGGTATTTTTTTTACAGAACTTAGAGAGTTAAAACGGCGGTCCCAGGCCGTACAGCGGGACATGCCACGCCCCTCGAATGTTAACGCTACTGTTCTAAGGCCGGCCAATGTTGAACCGCCCCTCACAGGACTACAGCAGGTAGAAAGGGAAAAGACCGCAGTCAATATTGATACCTAACACTGTTCGTTCGATTCGTTTCGATTTGCTGATTATTAGAGAGATTTAGCACTGCGTTTACGTGAAATATAAACGGAAAGAATTACGTGGAACGCAAACGGAAAGAATTACCATATGACCTTGTTTTTCCCTTCCATTTTTTCACGTTTTCCGGTTGCGTTTTGCCCTTTCTACGTGAAAGTAGCCTGCTTCGCGTGTACCGTGTACGTAACATTTTCTTCACTTTTTTTCTCACAGAGTAGAAGTTAATTGCTGAAAAAAGGGCACCAAAACTATTCTTTGTGGACAAAGCGTGAAACGTGAAAGGGCAAGCTGACATTTGCCGTTTCACGTAAACGCGGTGCTAAATCTCTCTCTTACCTAGGCGAAAGAAAAAAGAAAGAAAGAAAACACAGCTATGTTTGAAAATTCTATACGTTTCAAATTAATGCTTAGGTGAATTTTCTGCTTTAGGCGGAAGAACTCATCAAGCGAGAGATGGTGACCATGATTCGACATGACATCGTCAGTCACCCAACAGCTCTACAGATCGAAAACTTGACCCACAAGAAATCCAAGAATTCTGCCCAGGCTGTGATAGCAGCAAATCAAGCCGCTCTTCAAAATGAGCCCCTGGAATCGTTCTCAGAGAAAGAGATCGGTAACGCAAAGGAGCTTCTGGCGAAGGAAATGGAATTCGTCAAGTCCAAAATGGCTCACGGAGATCTGCCTATTGAGAGCTACACTAAAGTGTGGGAAGAATGCTATGCTCAGGCACGGTGATTTAACTATTGCTTTCGCACGACCCTTGACAGTTTACCTTTTAAATTCGTAGTAACATGAAATCATGTCCTTGATCCTGAAAATTCGTTTGTGAAGCCCCTCTAGAGCTCTCTTTTGGCTGCCCAACATAACAGTTTGTGTAAGTGTAGGGTTAGAGAGGGACAAGTTTGAACTGAAATAATGGTGTCACTTCTAGTGTCACCTTCGCAGTCTTTTGGTTTTGTTCCGTCACGGAACGCTGTCTTCGAAAACCTTTTTTTTTTCTCGAAGAGATAAATCAACAGCTGCCAAGGAGATTATATGCCACCGTTCAACTGTAGCTATCGAGTGGTGCGTTTATTTGGTGCTGTTGAATTTTATGCTGTAGTAGTTGTCTATAAAAAGAACGCGATTAACGTTTTTCACGGGGGCGGGACAAAGAAAAATCCAAGTCCGCCGAGTGTGGATTCCAGTCTCTTTCGTAGCCATGGTTCGGTCTTGTTACGCAACACAATCTTTCTCGCGCCGACTACAGGAAATTGGTATACTTTCAATTGAAACAGGGGGGATGGTAAAAAACGCGTCAATGAGACTAAAAACGGGCGCGGGGAGACAGATAAACGGACCCCACCTGCTAGAGTAATTATGGTTGGGTTGGGTGGCCGACCAACTCAGCGTTAGAAATATAGTTGGTGAGCGTCAGTCTATGTCTATGTAGGTGAAAGATACGGAGCTCTATATTCATTTGTATTTTAAAAGAAGTTCAATCTGTCAAACTTAACTGCTCGTATCTTCGATAGGTTTTGTTTTTGCCGACACAGCAGCGATACACAAGAGCTGCTTTAGCCAGCAAGAAGGACAGACTGGAATCCTTGGAGAAAAGACTTGAGGTGAGAGATTGTATCATCTTCGTAAATGTATATTGTGACGTGGACTCTAGGAGCTAAACGAACTACTTTTTCTCAATGTTTGTTTTCATTACTTCTAAAGATGAACCGAACACACATGACTGAAGACGCGAAACGAGCGGCCAAAATTGAAAAGAAACTGAAAGTTCTTCTAGGTGGCTACCAGGTAAGAATATTCTCTGTTTCTGTGTGATTTTACGTAGTAGTTTTTAAACCGTATTTCGATTGACGCTTCGTGATCAGATTGAAAATCGTCATAACGTTTATCAATACACAGGAAATTTTTAGCCATTAAGAGCAATTCTCTGACAAAGTTGGAAATGAAATTTTTAACCCTCCTTCATTTTTTGTCTGGAGGTAGGTTACCTGGGGGGATGAACAAAAACAGCCATATTTGGATGGGCAGGTGTGTTGTTGCCATGGTAACCGCACTTGATCACGTCAGCCTGAGGTCTATGTTTTGACCATTTAATTCACTCTCAAGAAGTAAAAGTAAACGAGTCCGGTTCTTGGGTGTGTGTGAACCAATTGAAGTGAAATTCATACAAATGGTAGAGATACTCTCCTAGTTTTTAAAATTGGCCGATAAAGTATTTTGGGTTTTACGATCAAGAAGGCAATGCTCCTAATACTATGTTGCCTGTCCGCCATTTTGACAAGCAGGAAAACAAGCACAACCATATTCTTTCCCAAAAAAAAAAACAAATTAGTAGCAGAGCTTACATAGATATTGAAGTTTCTAAATATCATAGAATCTATTTGAGGAAAATTACATTTTGGTAATGGGTGTTGAAGACATCCGAGGCAAGTTGCAAAAAATTGCAAAATTTGAAATTTTGAGGGCTCCATTATTTGGCTCAAACAGGCTTTAGATAGAGAATATCAGCTTCAGAAATATTTTCTATCATCTTATCTGTTATCTACATTTGATTGATTAGGTTTTGACCGACGAATTTGATGAAATATAAATTGAAACAAAGCTTACCATGCAAGTTTTGGAAATTTCTTCAGGATGCCTTTGTTGTATAGTATGGGTCTCTTCTCAGTTCCCTCGCACCATTTTCTCGACCAAATTTTGCACAGACTCTAGCGGAAAGGTCAAATCTAACTGGCTAGCCTCACCGAACATCTACTTTTAAACCAGAGATAACCCAAATAACCCAAATAAAGAACAGTCGAACAGGTCAAACACAGTCGTGTGTCTAGTATCGAAATAATTCATCGATACAATTCATCCAGGAAGTTTATTAGATGCATCAAGATCACAGCTAAGCAAATGCATGTCTGTAACTATTCTGAAATAAGTCTTTGACTAAATCGAGCCGTACATTCCGTGGTGCATGGCTGAGAAGGGAAGAAATCGTTGTTTACGACCACACGTATGTAGACCGGAAATGCGATGAGCAAACCTGCTGACCGGATGTACTTTTTAAATGCAATTTTCGCGCTTTTTGTTTGTTTGTTTTTGTAGCTTCAGATAAAGCGACATTGTCGCAATATCTGTTGGCATCAAGGTACTCGATATGCCTAAACGCATACATTTTTTACAAGTGTTTTTTTTTATGTTAATCACGATGAAGCAAACTCGCTTGATATTTGTCAACATCACCAAGATTGTCTGGGGATTTACTGGAGGGGTCGGTGCAAAAACTGTCAAGTACAACTAGGTAAAAGACCAACCCAGCATATCAAGAAGAGACAGGAAAACTCATTCCCGTAGCACCCAAACTTTTCAATCCTGTTCCCAGTTTCCCGGGGTATGAGATTGCTCAACGTTTAATTTTTCCTTGATGCTTCGGTTTTTCGATTTTCGTTGTTGTTGTTTTTGTTTTCTTTGGGGGGAGTGGGGGGCTTCCTTTACCATTGCAATTGTAAAACAAACCCGTAAGAAGAGGATATCATTACACTTGCATCCAGTGTTACATCCCATTACATTTTGTTATATCCGGTCAGCAGTCGTGCTTCTCGAACTTCCGGCCTACGCGTTCAGTTTATTCACCATTCTAGGCTTATCGACTGTCGCAATATTGGACTCGATTTTAACCAAAGACGTCACTTTGGATTGTTCAAAGGCATGCATTTGCTTTTTACATTGATCTCGAAACATTTACTTTGCTTCCTGGTTGGATAATATTGATGAATTTAGGTGCCCGACGGCAGAAATCGCAAGTATTACGACCATGTTTTGACCTTGACAACTATTCTTTGCTAAGTGTATGCGGGCTACTTGTATCATCATCTCCCTCTGGTATGAAACACGGTAAACTGGATATTCGGTGGGAGTAAGCGTTAGAGTAGAGTCTGCGCTAGATTTGGTCAAGAAAATGGAAGCAGCGAAGGAGAGGCACTGGGGAGAACCACGCGACGAAAGCATCCTGAAGAAATTCCCAAAATCTTCAAGGCAGGTTTTGTATCAAGTTATATTTCATCAAATTCGTTGGCCAAAACCTTATCAACTAAATGTAGGTGATAGACAAGATGATAAAAGATACTTTTGAAGCTAAGTTTGTCTCACTAAAGCCTGTTTGAGCCAAATACTAGAGCCTTCAAAAATTACCCATGGCCAGAATATTATTTTCCCCAAATTGATTATAGAATATTTAGGAACTTCAATATCTGTGTAATCTCTGCTGCTAATTTGGTTGATGTGGAAAGAGTGCTTTCGGAGAAATTACGAATGTGGTTGTGCTTGTTTTTTCCTGCAGTGTCTAAGTGGCTGAGAGAGAACATTGTAAGACGAGCATTTTCTTCTTGTGTATAAAACCCAAAATATTTTATCGGCAAATTATATAAACTGGGAGAGTGGCTCTACCATCTGTACGAATTTCATTTGAAGTGGTTCACATGCATCCGAGAACCAGACTTATTTACTTTTACTTTTTGAGAGTGGAACTTTAGCTCAAACCATGGTCCTGAGGCCGACGTCATCTAGTGCGGTTACCATGGCAACGATACATCAGCCAATCCAAATGTGGTTGTTTTTGTTTATCCCCCAAGGTAACCTACCTCCACGCAAAAATTGAAGGGGGGTTAAAAATTTTCATTTCTAACTTTGCTTCACTTTCTCGGAGAACTGCTCTTAAGAAGTTACAGGGAAAAAATCAAACTGCTATAAGCGGAGCAAACTTTTAAGGAATGATTATTTTCATTTGGATTCTGATTGGTAGGAATGTCAGTGTGAGATTTCCAATTCGAAAGGCCAAACCAATACAATCCGGGTTACTATCTTCACGGAATTGATAACTTCTGGAGTACAATTCTATGGAGAACAGTACAAAGAACGAATAACACATGAAATGTGCAAATTTGTGCTTCTCTAATCAGTCAGCTTAAAACCTGAAAAGTCTCCTAAAGCTTATAAAACTAAAAATTTACTGTAAAGAAAAGTATAAGGGAGTTCTGCCTTTGGTATTTCGGTTTGATATATTTTTCTTCTTTTAGACCCGAGCTGTAGGTCTGACGAAGCAGATTAATGATCTTTACGAACAAGTTGAACAGGCTCACATGGAGAAAGAGACTTTCAGTTCTCTGAGAGATTACGAACTAAGAGCCATTCCAAAGAGAGTTGAGGTATTTTTTTGTGGTATTTTTGTCTTTCCG